CATCCAAGATGGGGGCTGAGAGTCAATCTCCATAACATCAGGCTCTAGTATTTAATGTGCGTCTAATATTTTAACTCGGATCGACCTAGCCAAGTCAGTCTCGTATGCAGATGCCAATTTGGCTAAAGCATTTGCATTTGAATTCTCGGACCTAGGTATTTGACGAATGTCGTAGTGTTGGAACTGAACAAGGTGTGCTTGGACCTTGCTAAGGTATTTTTCCATTTAGGAGTCCTTCGCTTGGTACTCCTCTTTGATTTGATTCATTATGAGTTGTGAATCGTTGTACAYTTGGGTACGATGAGCTCCAAGTCGTTTGGCCATCTGCAGTCTGGCCAATAATGCTTCGTACTCGACCTCGTTATTGAAGGTGCGAAAGTTAAAACGCAGGACATACTCAAAATGCATGTCGTCTGGTGCAAGCAAGAGCACACCTACTCTACATCCTTTGTCGTTTGACGACCCTTCAACATACATGGTCCACTCAAGGTCGCATTTTGAGTCCGAGAACATTGAGGGTGTGAGCTCAACTATAAAATCGACCACAACCTGGCTTTTCATAGTCGTTTGTGGCTTAAATGAAATGTCATACTAATGACCCGAAGTTTCARACTTGTGGAAGACTTGCTTCAATTGAAGGTTGGCGAGTACTATCACTAGATGAGCCTAGAAGTAAGGCTTGAGACGTCGTGCCGCTACTACTAGGGCGAGGGCCAGTTTCTCCATCTGAGGGTAGCTGGTCTTGGGCTCGGTCATGACCTTGCTAGTGTAATAAATGGGGCTCTAGCACCCACTATCTTGCTTGATAAGGACAGAACTGACAGCATTGTCTGACATAGCAAGATACAACTGCAGCTTGTCGTCAGGCACGGGTTTGGCTAACAACGGGGCCAAACCAAGGTACATTTTGAGTTACTCAAAAGCCTCATGACAGTCTGAAGTCCATTCAAACGACCCTTTTTTGCGAAAGACCTTAAAGAAAGGCTTGCACTTATCAGTTGACTTAGAGACAAACCTATTTAGGGCGGCAATTTTCCTATTCAAGCATTGTAACTGTTTCAGAGTTTTCGGTGCTTGAATCTTAAGCACAACTCGAATCTTCTCAGAGTTGGCTTTATTCCTCGGTTGTTCACCATAAAAACTAAGAAACTTGCCAGAAGAGATGCCAAAAGCACACTTAGCTGGATTAAGCTTCATCTGATATTTCCGTAGCACCTCGAACGTCTCAATCAGGTCGTTCAGGTGTGACCTCGATTGTTTGCTTTTAATAAGCACATCATCCATGTATACCTCCATATTGCGTCCTATTTGGTTGGCAAGCATTTTGTTTGCCGTCATTTGATAGGTTGTGCCTGCATTCTTTAAGCCAAATGGCATGAACTTGTAGTAGTACAAGCCTTTATCAGTTATGAAGGAGGTGCAGACTTGGTCAGGCTCGTGCATCTTGATTTGGTTGTATCCAGAGTAGGCATCCATGAATGTGAGCAGCTCGTGCCCCGCTGTGGCGTTTACGAGTTGGTATCTGAGGAAGTAGGAAGCAGTCTTTAAGGCATGTCTTGTTTAAGTTAGTAAAATCTACACACATTCTCTATTTCCTATTGGATTTTTTAACTAAGACTACGTTGGAGAGCCACTCGGGATATAAAACTTCTTTTATATGTTTAGCTTTAAGCAATTTTTTCACTTCCTGAACAATTTCATCACTTCTTTCTTTATTTACAGATCTTCTCTTTTGCTTGACAGGTCAGAATGATGGATCAATGTTGAGGTTATGCACCATCACTTTGGGATTTATGCTCGGCACATCCTCATGGGACTATGCAAAGACATCTGCATTGGCTCTCATAAACTTGATGAACTCTTCCCTATTAGTGGCTCCCAACTTGGTGCTTATGCTGACTTGCTTTTTAAGATTAAGCAAGGGAATAGTCTCAAGCTCCTCCACTGCCGTAGCATGTTCTGAGTGGAGTTGTTCGACTAGGTTGCCACCTCTGTTACAGCACACACTGTCGTTTGAGGGCTGCGACATAGCACTCTCGTGAAGTTTTCTATTCTCCTCGGACAATGCCAACCCCATTTGGAGTTGGATACTTCAGAGCTTTGCGTACTGTTTGAAGGTAGAGCTTGAAGTGCGTGGATGATAGTCGGCCAAAGATAGCATTATAGGCAGACTTGCCATCCACCACTATGAACTCAACAATTTTCATGACTTGGATGTCACCTTGGCCAATAGTTATCGGAAGATCTATGCAGCTTTCTTGCGTGACTATCTCCCCAACGAATCCGACCAAGGGAGTCAGATTCTTCTTCAACTGTGTCCTGGTCCACCCAAAGGCAATGTAGGTTGTCAAGAATAGGATATTGGCGGACGCTTCTTCATATATCTATGAGCATCCTTCTGACCCAAACGTGGTTGATCATTGGTGAGACGACCAAGGCGTCATTATGAGGGAAATGAACGCCCTTCAGGTCAGCATCTGAAAAGGAGATTGAGTAGGTTGAACTTCGTACTTGCATGGCACATATATCGTGTCTCGCCTTCCTAGCCAATTCCTTCCTCTTGTTCCTTCACTTGCCCCACTCGATGCCTCCAGAAATTGTGTTGATGACCACAAGTCGGTTGTCCCTCCACGGTGGCATCCTTGAATGTCTCATTTTATCTTTCTTCTCAAAAGAGTTCGACCTGGACTTGCCGACGAACTTCTTAAAATAGCCATATTGAATTAGGTCTTCAATCTTTGAAACAACTCGAGGTATCGTGGCCGTGGTCTATTTGAAACGACAATACCTCCATTTGTCTTATTTTTTTGGATCCCCTCTGAGCTTTTTGAGATGTTTGAGTAGCTTCTCCATCCTAGTCTCCTCAATATTGGTAAGCATTTTTTAGATTGGGATGGTCGTAGGGGTGTACCTCTCATAGGGTCAGTCTCGGTTCATTTTAGAGTCTGAGCGCCTGTAGTCGGAGCGACCTTGAGAGGATTGAGATGCAGATCCTTAATTCTTAGATTTTGAATATGTGTTGCCTTTCTCAAGGCGGCTTGACTTCTTCTGGTCGGATTTATTCTTAGTTCGACCCGTTTTGGTCCTGAGCAACTTTTGACTGTTAATAACTTTTTTGGCCTTTTGCAAAACCTCGGTGAATGTAGCATGGGCTTCCTCGTCCAACTTGACTGCGTTTCATCTGCCAAGCCAATGAGGAAGCAGCGCATCGCTGAATCGTTCAAGCAATAGGTGACCTTCAGCTGTTTCTATTGGAACCTCGTCACATATTCTCGGAGTGTCTCGCCTTCCTTCTGTCTAATAGTGGCAAGGTGAGTGTCTGTCTTTTTGTCGTAGTACCGAGAAGAGAATTGAGTTATAAATTCCTTTCTCAACTGTCCAGACAACTTGCGATATCAGAGTCGAGCACTTCCTGTCAATGCAATCTGGAAGGCTCGACACTTGATATTGTCGATGGCAGCCTGAAAATCCATGAGGCCCTCAAAAACCTCAACGTATTCCTTCGGGTCCTTGGACACGTCATAGGGCTTCATGGCGGACGTTTTGAATTTTGCTGAGATTGGCGCATGTAGAATGTCCTGGGAGAATGGCGATTCGCCCGTCTCACCATCATCAAATAAGCTTTCCTTCTTTTCACATTTCGGTTTCAGAGCTTTGACCTGAGCGTCAATTTTACTTTTCATCAAGTTGAACTCTTCCCTCGTGATTACCCCTTGTGGTCCAATGGGGCTATACCATGACTTAGCCTTGTTGTTAGCGTTTTTGTGTGACAAGCTTGGGGAGGCGTCTGCACCTCTAAGGATGGAGCTCTTCCCCTTATTGTCAGCCAGATACTTCCTCAGGTCGCCCTCCCGACGACTATAATTAGCACCATTGTCTATAGACTCGTCCTCGTCAATTGGGTGCTGACTATTACTTCGTGTTTTGCCTTGGAAAGGTCGTTCCACATCCTCTTCCATGTTCCGAGACGGAGAATCCGTTTTATTCGCTCGTAGCAGGTTGTTGTACGATTTCCTCCATAGTACGTACCCTGGTGCGCATGTCATCCAGTTCAAGTTGTAGTGTGGCAAGGACATCAGGATCCACTTGACGGGAAGGCTTATGCACTGTCCTTTTGGATGCTCCTCCTCAAGCTCGGTGCGTAGTCTTGCCTTGACGAGTATGAGCTGGAGGAAGGGGGCGGGTGAGTATTGCGAGTTGACCTGCGAGGCTGGTCAGCCGCACGGTCGTCCTATACCCTATCGTCAACATCCTTTGAGTTGATCTCTCGCTAGATGCCAAGGTCACCATTGTTATTATCACGAATGGGATGGCTGAGCCAATGGAGACAGCTGGTGGTGCCATTTTAGTTCTCGTACTAAGAATGACTTTAAAATGTCCCTCCCTACAGATGACGCAAAATGTTTATGCAAGAAACCGAACAAGGTTTGACTTGGTGGAGTGGAGACAAACTTTTAGTATTTTGTTTAGTACATCGGGTGGGATGGAGGCAAACTTTTAGTCTTTTCTATTTTCAACTCTGAGAGCTGAAACTTTAAAAATGCATAATTACATTGAATAAAAAGATGAGAAGAAAAAACTTTGATGAATATATCATTTTATGTTATAAACTTATTTCATTTTAGTTAAAATTAAAACATTATATTATAAACTATATAATATTATAGGATAATAATTATACACATATTACTAAACATACCTGATCAATTTTTCAAATTAAGATTCAATTTTCAAATATACTACTAAACAATTATTCAACTATGTTTTTCATTGGGTACTAATAATTAGACTATAATAAAAGAAAAAGAAAAAAAGGGAATTTAGAGTTGAAAAAAAAGGTGTGGCGTTGCGTTAGGTTAATGAACGTAAAGGAGGGTGTTGGGAGAGCCGAGGCGAGTGAGCCGACCATAATGGAGCGCCGTCGTCTCCTCCTCCACTGTTTTGCCGTTACACTACACGGCCAAATGTAACGGAAGTGGCAGAATTAAACGTCTCAAAATTCCAACCCTCAGCAACCAACCTTCTTCTAAGCTCTCCAGCCGCGCCATAAACGTAATACCAAACTTCCCTTCGCAGCTCTGTAATGGCGACGTTTTCGAGTTGCCATTCCTAGCGTTTTCTGCTCAAGCGTTGCGCAAAGCTTTGAAATCTTTCTTGCGTTCAGATTCCGGCGGATTTCTGCTGTTGGGAGTTGAGTTTTGCGGCGAGATCTGATTTTTTGGCTATGGACGAAGATAACGGCGCTCTCATTCAGAGCTTGATCGATGTAGTGAACGAGATTTCTTGGATCTCGGATTTTAGGCATACTGTTAAGAAGCAGTATTGCAATTTGTCCCGGAGGCTCAAGCTTCTGATCCCAATGTTCGAAGAGATTAGGGACAGCAAACAGCCAGTCCCCGAGCAAACTCTCAAAGCCCTCGTGTTGTTGAAACAAGCTCTCGAATCAGCTAAGAAGTTGCTCAGATTTGGAAGCGAGGGGAGCAAGATTTTCCTCGTGAGTTTGTTTTCACTGTATTTCTTAAGTTCAATCGCATTACTGGAGCTGCTTGTTTTTCTTTTTCTTCTTGATTCGATTGCTTCACAATCCTCTAGTTTTCTCGTTTCCTAGCGCCTACTTCGTTTGATAGGAAATTGAGGGAAGCGAGGGATTAAATCAATCGTTCTTGCTGTGGAAGCTGCCGTGTATTTAGTTCAATTACATTTTAGCTGCAAATTAGAACATAAACAGAAGTAAGATATCTCTGTTACGTTTTGTCCGGATTTCTGTGCGCTAGGAATGAAATTTTGAAAAAAATGTAGTTCCGATTCAAGTTTCCATTTTCTGCATAATGTTTTACTCCATTTACTATCAAACGACAGCGATGAAAATCGTCAAATTCCGTGTGTTTTTCAATTGGGCAAATAATTATGGAAATTTACACTGTTGTTATTTTCTGATAACTTCTTCAAGACAGGTTCTTTCTATAATTAATCTTTATTTTTATTTGTGTCTATGATTCAACTACTTCCATTTTAAATCCAATGTATGACTGGGCAGACTAACCTTATTTCGTTTTATCCATTAGGCATATAAACCTGGTAGCATCTGTATTGATCAGTTCCTTGTTATTTTCTGAAGTCACCTAGAATTTATGGTCGCATCAATTCAGTTACTTCCAACTTCTTGCCTGATGATGCATCAAATTTCTACAGCTAATTACCAAACAAAAAACGGAGTATCTAAAGTTTCATAGATATTTTGTTAGCATATCTCCCTTTTTAATCCAACTTCATTTTATTATCAATTAGGTCGTAGAGAGGGAGCAGATTATGAACAAATTTCACGAGGTAACAGATCGGTTGGAACAAGCTTTGGAAGGAATAGCCTGCGATAAACTTGATATATCTGATGAAGTTAAGGAGCAGGTACAAAAATTATATTATCTTACTTTTAATTTGCAGTCTCTAGGCATGCCTACCTGCGTGATAGGTGATAACACGGAATTTTTTATGTCAAATTGTTAATTTTGTGCTGAAGCAGAACTATAACTAATAATAGTGATATGACCTCCCTGATGATTAAGATGAATATGATATGAATTAAGGGTTCAAATATTATTAATCCAAATGAAAGATGAATAATAATTTAAACATCAAAACTAGTATAATCTTTAGAAGATTACAGATTACATGGGAGAACCTTTTTGGTAATTAGATCTTCCTGTGTTTATCTCAACTAAATATTAGATAGTGTGTAGAAAGCCTGCAATTAATATTTTAAAAGTCATTATGTACACATCTAGCACCCTATATGCAGGTGGAGCTTGTTCTTGCTCAGTTCAGAAGAGCCAAAGTCAGGGCAGATGTACCTGACTCCGAGATGGTGGATGATATCTTTGCCCTTTACAACACGAGTGATGATTCTTCCGTAGATAAAGACCGCCTGAGGAGACTGGCTGAAAAGTTACAGTTAATTGGAATATCCGATCTTACACAAGAGTCAATAGCTTTGAATGAGATGGTTTCTGCTAGTGGAGGAGATCCAGAGCAGAGCATTGAGAAGATGGCAGGGCTGCTGAATAAAATAAAAGATTTTGTGCAAAAAGAGAACCTCGAGACGGACACTCCTGCTCGGGAAAATAGTGCTCCAGAAAGTTGCAGTGGACAAGTATCGAATGAGAAGAATCATAAGGCCCCAATTCTACCAGATGATTTTCGCTGCCCCATATCCCTGGAGTTGATGAGAGATCCTGTCATTGTTTCAACTGGACAGGTACTTCTGCAGTGGGCTTTCTTAATGATAGTAAATAATTTGAATGATATCGTCTTTGCAGTCGTAGGTCACTCCTTGCCTAAGAAGCATAGATACGAACACGAAACACGAATATGACACGAACACTGTAGAGTGACGTGATTTTCTAAAATCTAGAACACGGACACAACGATGACACATTTATTAAAATATGCCATTTATTAAAAATTTATGCATTTATATGCTTAAAAATATGAGTTTGATATATTCTTCGCTCAAAATTTATTATTTTGTTCTAATATCACTATTTATGTCTATTTCTTATGCTTAACAATCATTCAATACATGTCAAACAAGTGTCGGATTCATATTAACTCTGTACAACTAATGTGTGACACATATCGAGCTAACAAGTGTCCGATATGTGTCCAATAAGTGTCAGATTGTCTGAGTGTCCAAGACATGTCTGAAGTAGACCCATTACCCATATTACTTGGTGCTTAGAACTTTTAACTGAAATATGTGACCTTTTAAGCCTTTTACATTTTTCTGTTACCTTTAAAACCAGTAGCGTTGCTCTGGTGCTGAATATCTATTTAGGCCAAAACCAATACTTTTCTTTGCTGTAGACCTATGAACGCTCCTGCATTGAGAAGTGGCTTGAAGCGGGGCACGGGACATGTCCGAAGACACAACAAAACCTTTCAAGCACTACTCTTACCCCAAATTATGTGTTGCGTAGTCTTATAGCCCAGTGGTGCGAGGCTAATGGTATTGAACCACCGAAACAACCCAGTAGTGCTCGACCATGTAGAAGCTCATCATCTTGCTCACCCGCTGAACGCACAAAGATTGATATTCTGCTTTGCAAACTTGCATCTGGAAATCCTGAAGACCAGCGATCAGCAGCTGGTGAGATCCGACTTCTTGCAAAGCGGAATGCAGATAATCGCGTTGCCATTGCTGAGGCTGGTGCAATACCTTTCCTTGTCGGACTTCTCTCAACTCCAGACTCCCGCGTTCAAGAGCATGCTGTGACAGCTCTTCTTAACCTTTCCATATGTGAGGACAACAAGGGAAGCATCATTTCCTCTGGGGCTGTTCCTGGTATCGTTCTCGTGCTCAAGAAGGGGAGCATGGAAGCACGGGAGAATGCTGCAGCCACTCTCTTCAGCCTTTCGGTTGTGGACGAAAATAAAGTTAGAATTGGCGGCTCAGGAGCTATCCCGCCACTGGTTACGCTGCTTAGCGAAGGCACCCAAAGGGGTAAGAAAGATGCTGCAACTGCTCTTTTCAACCTGTGCATCTACCAAGGAAATAAGGGAAAGGCAGTGAGAGCTGGTGTAGTTCCAACCTTGATGCAGCTTCTGACCGAACCTGGGACCGGAATGGTGGATGAAGCCTTAGCCATCTTAGCGATACTGGCTAGCCATCCCGAAGGGAAGGCTGCCATCGGATCAGCAAAGGCAGTGCCGGTTTTGGTAGAGGTTATTGGGACAGGATCCCCCAGAAACAGAGAGAATGCAGCAGCAGTTCTGGTGCACCTCTGCTCTGGAGACCAACAACACCTTGTGGAAGCCAAAGAACTCGGAGTGATCGGTCCATTGTTAGATTTGGCACAAAATGGCACAGATAGAGGTAAGCGAAAAGCTGCACAGTTGCTCGAGCGAGTGAACCGGTTCCTCGAGCAGAAAGAGCAGGCAGCTCAACCTCAAAACCAGCCATCAGAATCAACCTCTGCAACCGAAGTCGTCAGTGGCTGAGGAGAGGATTCTGATCGTTGCGTTCCGGGCTTTGTTTCTTTCTTTCGTTCGTTTTACATGTAATGAAAGAGGCAGCTTTGCTTCACAAGGGGAGGTGGAAGATCACCTGCCTAATCTGTAAGTTATTATCATAAGTTATAATTTTTTGTTTGTATGATTCTGAGGAGTTTCTAAAGGGAAACGATGGCTACCAATGTATGAATGTTTATACATCCTCAATTTTTTATGAGGAAAATTCCACATTTTTAAGTATAAATTTCTTCACCTCCATAGCTGTACATCCAACAACCATAAAACCTTTTAAAATGTTTGCTAACTGTCGTTTTAATTGTTTAAATAAAGTCATAGACAAAAAATAAAAAAATATGAGAGTGAAATGCATATAAATTCGTGATTGTTGACTAAGTTTCTGTGAAAGGGTATTGGCATTTTTTTTAATTATTTTTTATTTTCGAGTTGAAACAATTATAATGGATAAAGATCAAACTTTTAACTTTAATAAATGTAAGGAAAATACTTAGCTATTTCCTGGTGACTTGGTGATGACCAATCTTGTCGTCGCAGGAACGAAGTAATGTAAAAATTTTGGCATAAGATTTTTTATCATAATTGCATGAGCATCATAAACTGAAGGGAAAAAAAACATTCAATTCTTACACTTGAACTAAGGAGGTTGAAATAATTTTTACTCAAAAACTTTTGATATTTCATCAAATTGACATCAAATTCTGTAAAAGTATTGTAATTTACATATTAATAATTTCATCAAAATACACTTGTATAATATAAATTTAAAAATAATTCAAATCCTTTATTTTGCAATTTCATAAGGAAATGTCATAAATCATGATACTAAAACCAATACGACAAGTAAACGAATAATTTTTTAGAGTAGCAAAGCTTAAAAAATAAAAATATGAAACTAATAAAAACTAATATAAAACCAAATACATGTGACACAGCCAGCAGACATCATCGTCACTCCCTTACTATTTCGTATAAAAAATAAGTAGTGACTCTAACAAGGTTGGTAATGCATATACACAAACATTAGCATGGTTCATGATGTTAGAAAACATGTGAGACCTAAAACTTCCTTAATATTATCATATCTTAAGAGTGGACAATTAACCTCTTCTCAAAGGTTCCACCACTCATTGATGGTACGAGGCGGGATTTGCAAGTCGAACTCGAGGAGCATGCATGCTAGTCGCTCCCCACGAAGCCCTTACATGATAGCATAAACTTGATACTTCATTATTTCATAATTGCTACTATCATTTTCAATGAAAATATATTTGTGATCATACAAAATGCAATCCAACATATAAAACAATACATAATAATCCAAACATGACCCATTATGGACGAAGTACGAACCCATTTTAAATTCAATGGTGATTATCTTTCCTTAAATCATCAACATGATACATCTTCCCAATATATATATATATATAAAGTTTACAATAAAAATTTCAAGTATTGACCTTTTCTTTCTTTTAGTAAAAGCAGGTTTAATTACTGTTTGGGGAAGGGAATACTCGGGACACGTGGAAGACCCCYATTGGTGCTCCAAGATAACTCATGAATCATGCCCAGCTCGGAAGGCCGAGATGGCCGCCACCAACGCCGACAAATGCCAAGTGTGAGGGCCGAGGTGAGCCTGGCTCAAGTCCGACCCACCGGGGAGCTCGGTATGGGCCGAGATGCGCAACTGTCTGCGGCGTGATTATCGGGCGTAACCGTCGGTCCCGAGATTACTGGATGTAACCGACGGTCCCGAGATTACCGAATGTAACAGTCGCTAGATTAGCGGGACCACCACCCATAAGTAGGGGACCTCACTCCCCGATCAGGTACGATGATTTCTGGCTTCGAACTAGACTTGGAATCCGACCTATACTGACTTGATCGTCGGAGTGCTCACCTTTTTGTGCAGGTCCACCCAAGTGTTCAGGTCGGTCCGGAGGCCGGGTTCGAGCTACAACCAGGAACACACTGTTTATGCAAATCTTTGCATAAACAATTACTAAACTCTACTCATTTAATAAATAAAATTTGTCATTATAAAATTAGTTACATGTAAATTCATTTATATACCAATTTTTATTCTAGAATAAAAATTAAAATAATTACAAAACAAGGCACACCAAAGTTCTGATTTTATTCATGATTTAACAAGTCTTTCAAGAATTATAAACTAAGCAAGCACAAGTAAACATGACAAAAGGAAATGAACAGAAGCAAAGAAGTCAATTCAGGCTAACAAAGCTTTATTCTCTAAAATCAACCAATTACAGAAACGTACAAGCAGCAACATAGAAAAAGAGTTTTTAAGTCTAACAAACCGAATAAAAACATATTGTTATGTGTACCTCGTCTAGCAAATGACAGATTGTTTCTCGTAACTCATGTACCTCAGCCCTCTTAGAATTTAAGCTAGATTCAATTTCTAGACACATACATGAATTGTTAGGTTCATATAAGTTAATGTATTAAGATACATGAATAGTATGTCTACATGTATCCACATATTTTGTGTCTTTTAGATGTGTCTCTTGGATGTTATATAAAGGGATCATTTCCATCATTTGTAACCAAGTAAGAAAGAAGCAAATTGAAGCATTTCAATCAAGAAAGAAAAGAGAAAAATATTCTTCTCTTGTATGTTCTTGAGTTTAATAAGAGAACAAATTTCTTCTCTTTAAAGTTGGTGAGTTTTAGGTGAATTCTAGTGAGGGCTTATCAACGTTTCCAACAAAGTGGTATCAGATCCAAGTTTAAAAGATGTCATCTAACAACATGTTGCAGCCTCAACTTCCTCATTCTGAAGGAAAGAACTATAGACGGTGGAGTCAACAAATGAAGGTTCTTTATGGATCTCAAGAGCTTTGGGATATTATTGATAGAGGATATTTGGAGCCCGAAGGTGAGGATGGTCTTTCACAACAACAACTCAACGAGTTGAGAGATGCTAGAAAGAAAGACAAAAAGGCGGTGTTTTTTATCTACCAAGCTGTAGACGAAAATATCTTTGAAAGAATTTCAGGAGTCTCGACTGCTAAAGCAGCATGTGATGAATTGCAAAGTGTGTATGAAGGAGAGGAAAAGGTAAAAATGGTAAGATTGCAAGCACTTCGAGCTGAATTTGATACCATTAGAATGAAAGAAGTTGAAACTGTTGATAAATTTTTCAATCGTGTTCTCTCTATTGTTAATCAATTGAGATCAAATGGAGATGCAATTGAAGATCAAAGAGTGGTAGAAAAGATCCTTAGAAGCATGACCAGAAGATATGAGCACATTGTAGTAGCAATTGAAGAGTCCAAAGCTTTGTCGACACTCTCCATAAATAGCTTGATGGGATCTCTCTAATCTCATGAGCTTAGATTGAAGTGATTTGATTCTACTCCTTCAGAAGAAGCTTTTCATATGCAAACTTCTTCTAGAGGGAGATTTAATGGAAGAAGAGGTGGACGCAGTGGTCGAAGAAATGGAAGGTCTAACGACTTCAAAAGTTTTGAGTCAGAGAGAAGAGATAATCAAACTTCTTCAAATAGAGGAAGGGGAAGAAGTTCCAGTAGAGGAAGAAGTAGAGGTGGAGGTCGTGGAGATTTTTCTCACATACAATGCTTCAATTGTGGACGCTACGGACACATTCAAACAGACTGTTGGTCTAAAGAGACCAATTCTAATCAGGCAGAGACCACTCTTATGCATGAACAACAAAATGATGATCAAATCCTTCTTTTCCTCACATTTAATGTCCAAGAAACAAGTACTAAAGATATATGGTATCTTGATAGTGGTTGCAGTAACCATATGACAGGAAGAAAGGATATTTTCGTAACTTTGAATGAATCTCTTCAAAATGAAGTGAAGACAGGTGACAACAAGAAGCTCGCAGTCAATGGAAAAGGAGATATTATCGTGAAGACAAAGAATGAAGCAAAAAGAATCACTGATGTGTATTACGTTTTAGGACTCAAACACAATCTTTTGAGTGTTGGGCGGCTTCTATTAAAGGGACATGATGTTGTCTTCAAAGATAGCATATTTTAGATTAGAGCCAAAAATGGAAGTCTCATAACAAAGGTACACATGACTCACAACAAAATGTTTCCAATCAAAATGTATTATGAGAAGCTTCTTTATTTTGAGACTTTAGTAAAAGACTCTTCATGGCTTTGGCATTATCGGTATGGGCACTTGAGTTTTGACACTTTGTCTAACATGTGTCAATAACATATAGTGAGAGGAATGCCAAATATTAAAAGGGAAGATCAACTTTGTGAAGCATGTATTTTGGGAAAGCATCATCGAAATCCATTTCCGACAGGAGGTTCTTGGAGAGCATCAAAACCTCTCGAGCTAGTCCATATAGACTTATGTGGACCCATGCGACTCACATTTATTGATGACTATAGTCGGAAGACATGGATTTACCTGTTAAAAGAAAAAAGTTATACTTTCGAGTATTTCAAAACATTCAAGGCAATGGTGGAAAATGAAAGCAACTTAAAATTGAAGATTGTGCATTCTGATCGTGGAGGAGAATATATTGCTCTTGAAGATTTTTTAAAGGAAAATGGAATCAAGCATCAAAAGACTGTTCGAAGAACTCCTCAACTAAACGATGTTGTAGAGAGAAAGAACAGAACAATAATGGAGCTTGCAAGAAGTATGTTGAAGGCCAGGAATCTTCCAAATGAATTTTGGGGAGATGTGGTGACATGTGCTGTTTATCTCTTGAATCATGCTTCAACATAAAGTGTTCAAGGCCTTACTCCTCAAGAAGCATGGAGCGGATTAAAGCCAACTGTTAGTCACCTAAGAGTATTTGGCTGCATTGCTTATTCTTATGTTTCAAATGAGAAAAGAGGTAAGCTCGATGATAAATCAGAAAAATGCATTTTTTTCTGGTACAATGAGAACTCCAAGGCTTATAGATTATTCAATCCTATAAGTAAGATAATCATTATCAGTCGAAGTGTAAAATYCAGTGAAGCAAAATTTTGGATATGGGATGCAACAAATGGAAACCATAATCCATTACTTGTTGACATGAATGACAAAAGAGATACTCAAGACTTGGAGCTTGAAGAGACTCAACCAGCAGCTTCATCTTCATCTCTACCTTCCACAAGTGATGAATCAACTCCACCAAGGAAGATGAGCAATATTCAAGAGATCTATAATGCTTCAAGAAGAATACCTGAAGATGAACATGTTGATTTTGCTTTATTTGCAAATGTTGATCCTAT